TTCTACCCCTAAATAACAAAAGCCCAGGATTTTAGCCCGACACAGGCTCTTCCTTGGGACATTTCTTGGAGAATGCCAACCTAGGACAGGGTACTTCTTCAGGTTTTCCTGAGGTCACCATAAGGGAGCCATGTTTTAACAAACCCACTGTATGAGTAGCCACTGAGTTCTTATAAATTATAAATTAGGAGACAGCAGTTTTGTTAAATTATGCACAGAGTTCCTTTAAATAGCAAAGTTCCCACACCTGTCACCCTATTCCCAAGCATTCAAAAATCCAATTCAATTTACCCAACTTGGATTTCGAAGCAACTTGGTGGGATTCACCTACTACCAACTCACCCACATCAAGGCAGGGAGACGGTGGTTAGGGAGTGAGGCCTCTGGTTCCTCTTGGGGAGTCTAGACACAAAAAGGAGAAGGTAAGGCTCCACAACCCTCTCATCTGCTTGCCTATGTGACACTCACTAGCCAAAGGGGGGCCAGCAGCCTCGCCAGGGCCATTGATGAAGCTGCCCCTTCACTGGCAGCTCCTGGAAGCAAGACCTTATGCTCTGCCCTCAGCTGACCTCTAATCCAGTGGGAGACAGTGGACAAGCACCAGCCAGAGAGATATAACTCAGTTTCGCAGGTGGTAGTAGGAGCTGGAGGCCAAAGGGGACGCTCACATGTGGAAATAAGGGGACAGCATTTTCTAGACTGTGGAAACCACCAGTGAAACGGCAGGCAGGCCAAGTGGGTACTTAGGGAGCATTGGGAGGTACTCCCCTTTCTCCAGTGCTGTGATATACTCCACAGAGGCAAGAGTTTCATATCATCCTTGGTACTTCCCTGCACAGGGTCATGAACCCAGAAGGGACTTGGGAAATATTGGTTTGAGGTGAATTCTCAAAAGGCAGAGCAATGACACAAGGATGTTAAAAGGGAATTGAGCCAGGCATAGTGGCACATGTCTGTAAACCCCAGTAATTCAAGAGACTGAGGCCAGAGGATTGAAAGTTTGAGGTCAGCCTCAGCAACGTAGTGAGGCCCTAAGCAACTTAGTGAGATCCTATCTCAAATTTTAAAAAATAAATAAAAAGGCCTGGGGATGTAGCTTAGTGGTTAAGTACCCCTGAGTTCAGTCCTGGTACCAAAAAAAAAAGCGGGGGAGAGTGGGGGAATTGACTTGCTGGTCTGCACACACTGTACCCATTATCGTTTTATTGCTGCTCAACTACAAATCCACCCTTCATTGCCCTGCTTGTGATTCTGAAGCGAATCCCTATAAACATTTCTCTTGCCTGCTGGCAGGATATTGAGCTTCTTCAGTAGAGGGCGCTAGAGAGACATTACAGGACTAGGGGCTGCTCTTTTTTCCTGAAATGCTGCAGTGCTTGGCCAACGTGAAGAACATCTACTGGCCTTTTAGTACACTTTCACCTCCAGAGAGTTTGAGTAGCACTTTGGGGGCAGCTGAGTTTCCCAAATGAGGTTCTCTCGAGAAATTTCTCAGCTGAGGTTCTCTCCAGAAATTTTTTGATTAGTTCAGTATACCCTAGGTGATCTCCCAGTGAGTTCTGTTGGCACTCCAGAGGGTTTGCCAGATGACCTGCCGTACCTTGACCTCAGTGAACTTATATACCATCTAGTGGCTCAGCCACGTTCTCTTCAACGAGGACAGACTCTTGGCCTCAGGCAGCACCTCTCTCAATTTGATTCATTTTTGCATTTCTTAGAGTTCTGTCTGCTACTTAAATAGTCTCTCTCCTGTTCCTAATTAATAATTCTTTATAGTCTACTTTCCCTTTTGGAATTGCTGTGTGGTTTCTGTTTCCTGAGTGGGCCTGAGGAATTCACTCACACACCTGCATTTACACATATTCCTGCAGCTCCCAGGAAGGGCCCTCACTGGGCAGCTCCTTGCTCAGGCTTCAGGCTCATTTCCCCTACAAATCTTTGGAGCATCTTGAATCATCTCCTTCTCCTGAATACCCCCTTATCAACAGAATTCAACCAGGAAAATAGATATCATTCTAGGCATTTCAAGCAGAAAGGTATTTAATTCAGGGACTTTAGTGCTTAAATCCTGGTTTTGGTGCTCAAAACTTGGTTTCTCCCAAACTGTATTACTGTGGATAGGTAAGTTAGCCTTTATAACTCAGTTTCTGTTTCTATGAAAATAGAGATAATGATAGTACCTAATTTATAGGTTGCTCTTAAAATTAAATTTTTAAGTAATCCATGAAAAACTCCCAGTGGCTGGTATATGTTTAATGCCCAATCACTGTGAGCTATTATTATTGTCACTACTATAATCCTCTGAACACTACAATACACCTGTGTTCAGGATCATGAAGCCACCGAGTCCATAGCTAAAGCAGCCAGAAAGGAAAGAAAAAAAAATTTAGCAGGGAGATTTCATCCCTGGTTGAAATACAGGTTATTCAGGATGGAAGGGGGGACAAAGGGATGGGGTAGATGATGCACAGGTTTGATATGGCTCACAGATCCCTGACTGTCCTCAACTTGAACAAGTTACACATCCTAGACTTCCTTCACCAGCATCTTCCAGATACCTTTTGAAATTTTAACTGAAACTATAATATCTGAATGCTTTTTAAAAGTCAGAAGTACAAATGGTATAGAGTTAAGAATAAGTCCCTCCAGCCCAACCCCAGAATCCCCCCACTCCATCCCCTCAGAGTTGGCTATCAGGAACCAGTTTCTCATGTCTTTCCAGATATGTTCTAGACACATGTGTTTTCCTAATTTAATACACATAGAAGCACTTTCTTTGCACCTCGCTTGTTAGTATTCTTGACATAAATACAGGACCAATTATAACCAGCTCCCTTCTGGTAAAATTTAAGTTGCTTTAAGTCTCTTGCAATTATAAGCAGTGTTGCCATAAACCTCTATGCCCATATATTTTTCTATCTATGAGGCAAAAATAAATAAATCTCACCTCTTTAGAGTTGGAGCACCAAAGAGTATCTTTGTGGTCTGGTATTAAAACACAGGGGCAGGATCTGGGAAGCCTGCTCACCTGCTAACATCCTGTGCACCCCCACACACAAATCCCCCATCTCTCTGTGTGACAGAGGCTCCCTGCTTTTTAGGCAGCAATAACTGGACCTGCTTTAAATTGCCCCACAAGGGCATCTGAGGATCCAGTGAGATGATTTACATGAAAGTTTACGAGTCCTGTACTAATATACAAGTGTCTCATTTGGTTATTTGCCAACCCTATAGTTGATCCATTGCTCTATGAATGTGCCCTTTAATCTCCACCCCAGCTGCCCCTGCAAAGGGAAATGAACCCTCCTGCAACTCCTGCTGGTGGACAACCTGAGGTGGTACCATGTGACCCTGGCCTTCCTGTCCTTCTGCTTCACAGATGACTCTGGCTACCCAGTGGCTGAATGAAACGCCCTGCACTTGCACAGATCAGCCAGTTACTTCTGAGTCCTTCCCCTGGAAAAGTTTAGTAGGAATCCACGAGTGACTGGGTGAGGACAAACACAACACAAAGGCACAGAGAAAGGCGCATGCTCAGGACCACTAGAAGCCAAAGTTATAGGTAAACCAAAGTTGGGAGGAAGCAGAAACCTGAAGGTATGAGGTAGGAAAACACATGAGGACCTGGGTGAGAAGACACAAGCAGAAATAAAGCAGCCAAGCAGCAGCAATGAGAAAGCACACGTGAAGGGGCACAGCCCTGGCTGCTGGTCCCCAGGACCTCCTGAATCCAGCATCAACTGTCCCTCTGAGGCCAAGTCATCCCAAGTCCCTGCTGCTAGGCTCCTGTGTGACCCTGTCGCCCATGTTCCCTCACATGGCTTTACGGGCTCTTCTAAGGCTCTTTTCCTGCTGCCACAAGTGAAAACCAACCCAAGGCTCATGACACCCATCTCTCCAACTTCCCAGGGAGCTCCCTAAACCAAGAATTTGATGTATCCTGGGAGAGGGGAAATGAAAATCCTAAACTGTTTTGCTTAATGAATGAGATGCTACTTCATGGAGGTCAGCCTCCCGGAAAGGGCAGGGTAGGGAAGAGCAGAGAGTGGAAATGGAGAGGTGAATGGATAATGATCCTCAACGGAGACTGCACCATACTGATCCTTTCCTCTTACTCAAATCCCACCCACCCTTCATGTCACCTCTTCCACCAAATCTTCCAGTCACATCATCACTCACCTCTTGACTCTTGGGTACATTGCTGACTGTTCCCAGATATGTCCCCTGTATCCACACCTTCTGTCCTGTATCTTTGCAGTCCCCCCAACTAAAGGAGTAGAGAACATTTCCCTATTCTTCAACTTTGGGTTTGGCCATTGGATGGGATGGAAGTGATGGTGTGTCAGTTCCAAGGTCTCTTGTGCTTCTTTCATTGCCTTGGAAAGAATGTGCCCAGGCTAGCCCACTGTTTCCAAGAGGAGGGTAAGAGATGCCCAGAACAAAGTGCCTCAGTCAAGCCCCCAGCTGGGTCCAGTCTAGATCAGCCAACCTTTAGCTGTCTGAGCAAAATCAGTGTTTATTGTACGCCATTGATATGTTATGGTTATAACTGCTCCCTATGACCTCTTTTTAACATAATAACTTCTGTAAAGATCCTATCTCCAAATAAAGTCACGTTCTGAGTTACTGGGGGTTAATATGTCAACCTAGGGATTGGGAGGAGGGGGTTCAGCGCCAAACAGGGTTTAAGGAGCCAGTTGTGACTTATCTCAATAAAATCCTTTAAAACAAGAAACCAAGAGATTAGTTTTATATGGTGGGATTCTGTATTTCAAGGGGTGGAATTCCAGTTTTCAAAGCAGTCCTTAGGGGTGAGAGTTCTTAATAATGGCACCTCAAAGGTGTCACACCCTTTACCAAAGGGGCCTTAGCAACTGGTAGAATGTGGATCATTATGAGGGGATTGTGATGGCGGCTGGGCTGTGGAATCTGGTGAGGCCAAATGTGACGGTCTCAAAAGATGTCCTCTGGCCTTAGATGGCACCACTGTGGTTATTTAAATGGCAACAGAAGACAGAGAAGTGATGGAAACCCGGGGGGCAGGAGAAAGTTGCCCCAACTTCTCTAAGTTGGTGCCTAGTGACTCCACATCTGAGGGGAAGCCCAGGGCTTCATTGGTAAGAGGGTTGCCCCAGCTGGATCCATCAGGGGACAAAGGACACTTGGAACAGGGGGTAAGAGATGAGTTCTCTGAGGTCCAGAGAGCTACCAAGACCAATCCCCATAACTGGCCCCCCGCTGTCACTAGGGACCAGGTGGCCCTGCACCAAAGTGTTAAGTCCCTTGAAGCTGGCTTTGGTCTCACCCACCTGAGTCCTCATTTGAAGCCACCCCCCACTCCGTCCCTCTTGTTGGTTCCTCTAGGTTTAGATTCTCAGAATGTTTGAGAATCTTCTATGACCCCCAGAACACCTTGTATCTGACAGTGTGGGCAGTGGGAAGTCCTCCCTGAAGACTTGAAAATCACTAGGGCTTGCCACTTGAGGGCAGGGTTCCATTGTGTGCTTTTGCCTCCTCCTTTGCAGCCTTAGGGTGCTGATAACTCTGCCTACGTACACTTCTAATAAGAATGCACACAGTCTGAATCTTTGCAATCCAGGACACTTTCCCACATCCTAGTCCACTGTGGCTTGGAGCTGGCAGGGCCGTCGGGTCTGACTCCCCACTGGCCCCCACCATCTTCCCTTTCCCAGCCCCAGGAGGCAGAGTCCCCCAGGCCAGACTCCTACCTGGAGGAGATGGAAACGGACGAGGAGAGAAGTTCCCCAGAGCCCCCTAAGTCAGTGACCCCAAATGCTGCACCTGCCACCAAGGGTCAGGCGGGTGATGGACCCGAACCCGAGGAGCTTCCCCAGGCCTCAGGGATAGGGCGCAAGGAGATGGAGCTGGAGAAGGTGCGCATGGAGTTTGAGCTCACACGCTCAAGTACCTGCATGAGGAGAACGAGCGGCAGCGGCAGCACGAGGAGGCAATGGAGCAGCTGCAGCAGCAGGCCACACCCTGCCCGGTACTTGGGGAGAGGGGCACTGGGCCAGGGGCCAGGGCTGACACCAGGGGCGAGGGCACAGAGGCTACCCCGCAGTGCCAGGGCAGGAGTGAGTCCACCCTCCCTGTTGGCCGTGTGTCCCATCCTGGAGATCCAGGGTCTCCACTGAGTGGAATGACCATCCCAGAGGCCACCTCCAGCTCTGCTGCCTTGGGTCACTTCCTGAGAATGGACTGAGACCACTACCCCACATAAGATGGCTTTGCTGGAGCTTCCAGGTTAAGCTGAGAGCCAACTCTCTAAGGCTAGGAGGGGACCCGGAACCACAGGGTCTACTCAACAGCCCTTTTGATAGCCTCAGGGGAAAGTCTTCAACACTTTCCAACACTCTCAGTTCCTCTTTGCATCTCATACAGTGTGACCACTGGAGACTAGACCCAGCATCCTCCCTACAGTCCAGCCCCACCACCTCCCTGACCAGGGCTGTGGTTGCTATAGGATGACAACTGAAATTTCACAAGAAATGGACACTCAATGTTCATCTGTACTAAACGGGGATAAGAACGCCTGATGAGATGAGATGGGATGGAAAGTGCTTAGCACAGTGGCTAGGTCATCATAAGCACTCCATAAGGAAAGAGTTACTGCTTCACACAGTATTTCCTGGGCTTTCAAGTCCATCCTGTGTTAAAATCTTGCCTCTACCTTGTGTAAGCTACTTAACCTTGGGCAAATTAACCATCCTCACTGAGCCTTGGTTTGCTCATCCCTAAGGTGGCCCCTACCTTGTAGGGTCATGAGGATTAAAGGAGAGAATGCATGTAAGGTGCTTTGCAATGAGCACAATGCATTAGGTAAGCACTCAATAAATGTTAGCTATTACCATTTTTATGTACTCATGCAATTCACTTCTTGACCCAAATGCAACAACCTACATTCATCACTTTTCAATTTTATTGGGATATAATGTATTAGCTATGCTTCCCAGCTCTGAGTCATCCTCAATTCTGAGAAGCTTGCTTTCTGTCTTTCTCCAAGTCATTGCTCTAATTGTTGAGGAGGATATGACCTAAAGTAAATACCACTAAAAGATCTCACTACAGGTTAGCAATGTTGCATTAATCAACACCCTGGAGTTACATTTTATCCAGCTCATATTTCTCCAGCTTGGCCAAAAAAACTATCCCAAGACACACTGTCAAATGGTTTCCCAGAATTAAAATATTATATTACCTATAGCATTTCTCCAATGGACTGGTCAATTTTAAAAACAGAAAATAGACTTGGTTTTACATGATTTCTTCTCAATGAACACATGCTGACTTCTTAATTATCTTTTTTCCTCTCACAAAATACCTTCTTAATTATATATTAAATTATGTCACTGAGCCAAGAAAGCTTATTAAATCAGGACTTCCATTTCCATCTTTTTCTCCCTTTTTGAAAGTCTGGAAAATATGTGCCTGTCTTTAATATTCTGGCACATTTCCTGATATTTTTTAAATTCTGCAAGTTCCATTTTCAAACTCATAAGTTTTCACGGTATCCTAGGATAAAATTTGACACAAATTTGAGCCTGAAACTACTGAAAGTAGGTATGGTGATGTACTGTGCCTTTGGTCTGTCTCCTCCTAACTATATTCTTCCCTTTTTCATTTGAAAATCTTTCTCCTTGCTAGATGAGATGGGAACCCATGGTATATCCATCCTCTGTCCTACCCATCCTCTGTCTTATGTTCAAAAGATAGGCCATTGGAAGTGTTCTGAAAAGTCTACAGGGTTTTACAAATGCATGTTTTGTTATTAAAAATCACAGTTACCACCCCACCTCCCACCCCATCAGCATTTCAGACTGAAAACATACAGACTGCAGAGAGGGGTGGAGCCCACAAGTCCAGAGCCAGTGTCTGCAGAGCATGGCCCCGACTAAGAGAATGTTGGGTCTCTTCTTGGGTCTCCAACCTTCCTGTTCACTTTAGAGGCTCACCACCAGAGCCATTCTCAACCCTTCTGAGGGTTAGTTGCCCTCATATGCCCTGTAGCAGTTTCGACAGTTGGTGTATCCAAGCCCTCAGATCATTAGTAATAGTTTCCCAAAGTGTTTTACTTGTAAGCTTCGGATCTTCCCCTCTTTTCTTTTTCTGAGAGGCTAGGAAGGAAGATGGTTGAATGGGTAGATTTCATTACATTGAAAATTCTTCTTTGAGTGTGTTTATTGCTAGTTCAGTCCTTGTTATCTGCTGCTTTTAAAAATATGACATGATTTTTTAAAAATATTTTAAAGAATAAGCCATGTCTGATGCCTTAACTGCAGATCAGAGTCATTGTATCAGCTTTGCTTTACTTATACACTGATGCTCTCTACAGTTAAAATAGGTCTGTCAGATCCCAGTTATACAGATTCCAGAAAAGAGCAACTTAGAGGCAGAATCAAATCACTCAAGCTGCTTTTCCCAAACCCAGTGCCTGCCCTGTGAGTGTAAGGAGGCCCTAGGGCTCATTTCTCAGCACTTGCCCCCACAAGAGACAAAACCCTGCACTAAATAACATACCAATGGATTGGACCATGTGGTGTGTTCCAGGACCCAGGGAGTCAAAAAACAGTCATCCATACCTCAGGGATGCCCTCTCATTCTGCCTGTCCAGAAATCTAGGTTGATATCCAGATGTCCAGAGAACACTCCCAAAACCCAGAGTTCAAATCTGAAAATCTTGGACTGAGAGAGAAATTGCTCACGTGTGCTCCAATGCACAGTGTGGGGTGTGAAGAGGAAATGAGGTGTTGGCCTGGGGCCCCCGCCAGGAGGGATAAGGCAGACTCGAGATGGGAAAATGAATGAGTTCCCTCTATGTGCCAGTGACCTGACCAGGAATTGTCTCATTATTTTTTCCTTCTCTTCCTCATGCTTTTGGGAAGGGAGTGCTATTACCCTTTCCTTAGGTGAGGCTGATAACGAAGTCACGTTCAGGAAGTGGCACCAGCTCCACTGTCTTCTTTCCCCCACAGTTCTCGGGAGGCCTCCAGGACCTCCTGCTCCCCCAGAACCAGTTTGCCATGTTCCTGTACTGCTTCATCTTTATACACATAATCTATGTCACCAAGGAGATGGTCTTCTTTCTCTTCTCCAAGCACTATCTGTTCTGCATCGCGGCCATTTTGCTGTGTTTGATTAAAACTTTGTGGTCCTACTTCCAAGTGCCTTTGCTCTCTCCATCACTAGGGACCCCCATGATTGAGTGCTATTAGGATCCAAGTTACGCCCAGCCTCCCTGGCTGATCTTCCTACACAGTGCCTCTTTCCATCAGAACCTGCCCTCAGGACAGGCTCAGCTGTCAGCCTTTGACACCTAAGTATGAAGAAACATGTCCAAGCCCCTGGCCCTGAGCCTGGTTCTCACTGTGGATAACCATGCTATGCCCATCAGGATTTCAGAAGGTTAGGAAGGTATCTGTGGGGAAGAAAGGTTCAGAAAGCTTTTCCAGAATGATAGACTCGCACTATGGCCAAGCTGGCTTAGGTTCCACCACATCTATACACATTCATAATTTTCTGACATGTAGGGAGCCTGTCGTAGGTTTGAGGATAGCTCCCCCTGCCCTCCAGCAAAGACGTCTATGTCTAAAACCCCAGCATTGTGAATTTGTTACCTTGCACAGCAAGAGACTTTGAGACACATTAAATTAAGGGTCTTGAAATGGGGAGATGACCCAGGATTATCCAGATGGACACAATGTAATATCATCCTTATAAGTGAGGCAGCAGGGTGTGAGGGGAAAGTGACCAACCACTGAAGCAGAGGTCAGAGTAATGCAGGGGCCACAGGTCCAGGAATGTGTACAGTTTCCAGAAACTGGAAAAAAATAAGAATATGGATTCTTTCCTCGAGCCTCTAGAGTAAACCAGCCCAACCAGCCGACTTTAGACTTCTAACCTACAGAACTGAAAGATAATAAACCTATGTTGTTTTAAGCCCCCAAGTTTGTGGCAGTCTGTTACAGCAGCAATAAGACACTTATACAGGAGCCAAGACTACCAGGCTGTTTTACAAACATGTCAGGATAACACTGGCAAGGTCCCTTTAGCACTGGGCCTGAAGCAGAGCAGCACACAGTCAGCCATGCAGACTGGGAGCCTGTCTTTAGACAATATCTGATTGTAAAGAAGAGAAGCCAATCCCCAGAGAGCTCAGGATGGGCTTCTCAGAACCTGGTGTGAAGGAGCATCATTATCACTAAGCAGCAGGGCATCCCATTGGTAAGGCAGGTGGGGCACCCTCCTAGGGACATAATAAAGAAGAATTAAGCACTTGAGGGGGCCCAGAGGAAGTTATCAGCGGTACTCTACTAAAAAGCAAAAAAGGGGAGGAAAAAAGAAAGCAACACACACACACACACACACACAACCTGAGGTGCCCCCCAACAACCAGCCCAAGCACTCAGACTTGCAAAAATGCAGAGATGCTAACTCAGAAACCAATGTATTAGCTTACAAACCCACAGATGCAAAGCAAATAAGCAGCTGTTAGCAACAGAGATGTTTACCCCAGCTCCCACCCCCCCCCCCCCCGACCAAATAAACATGCAGCAGCAACCCAAAGGACTATTGTGGACATTAGAAGGCTCAGAAGGAGGCAGGACAAGAAGTTGTTCAGCATGTGCGCCACAAAGAAGAGGAGTTCAACTCCACTTGCCGCCCTCTTCCGTCTTCTCGGAGGCACACCTGCTTTCCAACTGTCAGCTGCCACCCAGGCCCAGCAAGGTGGGTAGTTAATACACAGGAGACTTTAATGTGGCAATAATGCAGCAAACCAAACAAGGCTGGGCACAGCTGAGCACTCAGGGAAGTCTATATTGACCCCTTCCCCATCTCCCACATAGGGATCTGCCTTAAGAGGGACCAAAGAATAAGTTTCTGTCTGGTTGGGCTCTGACTGACACTCAGTGTAGAAAAGAAACCTACTTGGGGCTGCACTGCCGTTATAAATTAGCATCATTAATGTCGGCTTCTCATTTTCCACCCAATTCAATGCATCCACCACCGTGGATCACTGTGTGTGACAGGTACTTAACTCAAGTGGTAAAACTGTCACTTCTCGTTAAATTTTCTATGTTAGCACTTTTTGCTATGGGTCAAGTCTCACAATTGATCCTGCTTTCTGGTGTGGAATTGAGCTGAGAGAAAAAGGAGGAGATTGCAATAGCAAAGAGTTCATCTGGTCATCACAGACAGAAATAGGAATTTGTAAAACAAAAAACCAAAAAGTAAAAAAAACCCAAGTGCTATGCAGCCATTCAGTCAATCCTCCTGTTGCCAGTATCACTAAATAGAAACACTTCCATTTTCCTTAAAAATCTTTAGAGCAATATTTAGTTAACTCTCTTGAATAATTAAGTTAGCATGGCATCTCACACCCATAGCCAGAGACGTGAACTCTTTTCCTCTATCTTTGCTATTGCGTTTGAAAACTGAAGACAACAGTCTAAGATCCGCCCGCTAAGAAAATGAGAACAATTCTTGGTCAACCCTGAAAATTAGTACAGGTCACCTGGTTGAAATGCAAAGCAAGAAAATGAGAGAGAGAGAATGAAAGACATTAAACACTCAAGCACTTCTTGGGCACCACTAATGCACCAGGAACCCTGGTCAATGCTTATGATGGAGGCTATCTTTGCCAAAATCCCGGGAGACAGCAATGTATATTATCACCATTTCATAGATAAGTATACTGCATTGCATCTAAGATAGTGTTTTGCTTGGGCACTGTTGCAGCTTTGAACAAAATTACAATTCTGATAGTATGGGGTGTGGGAGATATTACATAAGCAAATAACTCTGTTCACCATTCCTACTTTCTAAGACCCAGCTCCAACTCCTGGAGCTGCAGAGCCTGATTCTTCCTGGGGTTGAACAAGTGGGTGGAGCACAGCTGCAGCTAGTCTCAGGAGGAGCACCACAGGCCACAACCGCATGCCACAGCGGGGAGGTCATGGTTTTCCCTGGACACACGCCTGGAGCCACTCTGTCTTCAACCCTCCTGACCTCTGCCTGAGGTCTCATGACCTCCACGAACAGGCCAGTGGCCTTGCCTGGGGACTTGGAAAGACATGCTTCTCTGTGCCCTTACAAAGCTGCAAGAGGAAGCAAATTGAAGTCAAGCATCCCTCCTTCTCTTGATCCCAGATCCCACAGGACACAATCCAGGCCCAGTTGGGGGATTTGCTCAGCTCCCTGACACTGAGATGCTAAAGACTGTAACACGTGGAACTCATTACACTCAGCTTTAGCCCAAATAATGAAGTGCCAATAGTAAAATTTCAGGGCAGGCATAGGGAGATAAAGATGGTGAATCTTGCTTGCCCCCCAAGTGGAATCTCAGGTTGCAAAGCCCAGGGACAGGCTAGAGTCAGGAGATAGCTGACATCTCTAGGCAGGCAGGGAAGCAGGCTTGGTTCCAAAGACCCCTGATCCCAGTTTAGCAGTTCACTACTAGGTTTTCTTCATTTGAGTGACCTATAAATTATCTAGACTCTAACTCAGTGCAAAAGTAAAGAAATAAGGACCAAAGCCTAGTGTTTGAAAGTGCCCCAGTGGATTCTAATGTACAACCACAGTTGAAAAGCTAACTTCTTGTTCTTCAACGTGGGGTCTGTGGATCAGCAGCTTCAGGATTTCCTGGGAAGCCACTTAGGAATGCAGTGTCCTAGGCCTCACTCCAGACCCACTGAATCAGATGCATTTTGACAATCTCCCTGGCAATTCATAGGCACCATCCAGGCTGGGAAGGCTGTTCCAGTGATGAGACTTCATCCCACCAGCCCCCTGCTGTGAGGGCACTGCTCTCAGCCTCAAGGGCCTTCTGGGAGGATAAGAGGGGTCAAGACAGAAAAGGAGGAGAGGGACAGTACTGAGTAAGGCACCTTAGAGGTGCTCTGAAAGTCTCCATCAACACCAGGCACCAACAAAGGACAGCAGAAGCTTGCTGTGTGACGTCAGGACGCTAAGGCCGTAAGCAGCACCCCACCCCTCTGCGCTCATTCACCTGTGCTTGCTTGGGGCTTCTGAGAAGCCAAGTGATTTCAACCGGCACCCCAGGAATCACCATGAAGTTCTGGAACCCCTCCAGGCCTGTGTCTGCCTTTTGCCCTGTTTTGATCCGGCTCTTGTGTGTGGCTTAGGGAAAATCTTGCTAATATACATTCATTCATTATTTAAAGGTCGCCACTGTTCCCAGGAAGGATAAGCATGATTAAAAGACGGGATTTTTCCACAGGGCGCAGCAGAAAACCTAGGACTCACATTTTTAAGCTGTTTTGGCCGTGCCTTGTTGCATAATTCAAAGGCTGTGACTTATTTAGATTTAATTAGCCAAAGGAACAGCAGTGGTAGGTTCATTAGTCAGTATTTATTAAGCACCCTCCGAGGCTTTGTGGGCTCCAAGAACAAATGGAGGACAGGCTTTGGACTTGCAGGTCCCTCAGCTAAAATAGGAGGGGATCACAGATGGTGTAGGGGTAGGCATTATTTGTTCCTCAGAGAGAACCAGAGTGGCCCAGGTTCACTGGGGAAATCCCCACAAAAGACCTGCAGTGGGAGATGTCAGCCCTCCCAGGATTGTATTGACCAGCCTTGTGATAATGAGGCCAAAGACCAGCGTGAAGGCGGGTTACCCAGAAGAGAGGGATTGGCAGGAGATGAGCTGGGAAGAGAAGTGACTGACCATCTCAATTTCAAAAACTGGGTGAGGTGGAAAGATAGGCTCCAGAATCTGTGGGGCTCAGTACAAGAAGGCAATGCAGGGTCCCTTGTTCATAACTCTATATAAAGAATGTCAAGGCATGGTGCTGCACCCCTGTGGTCCCAGCAACTTCTTAGGAAGCTGCGGCAGGAGGATTGCAGGTTCAAGGCCAGCCTCAGCAACTTTTAGCAAGACCCTATCTCAAAATAATAAAAAGGGCTGGGAATGTTGGGAATGGAGCTCAGTGACAGAGTGCACATGGATTCAATCCCCAATATCACACACAAAAACCATAATTTCCAGAGAGTGACAGTAGAGCATTAAGCCAAACTATATCCCTGAATGCTCACCTGTACCCCTGCATGCTCAACTATACCCCTGCATGCTTATGCTACAAGCCCTGGGAGTAGATGAAGGAGACTGTGGGATTGGGGACTCTTAAATCCCACTCTGAGAGAAACTGTCCTTGGCCCCCACTCCATCAAAAGGAGGGAGGGAGCCAGTTCTGAG